TAATTTTTACAGCCCAAGTCCATTAATCGTCCTTTCAATTTAGATTATAATTTTTCCCCTGAGTTTTGCAGCGTTATTATGTGATATGTAAAAGCATGTCAGCCAACAACTATCAATTATATTTTCGCCATAGATTTGTTACAATGGCAATTTATCTGCTTGCGTATTATGACGTTTTATATTATTTTTCCTCAAATTTAACAATAGTTATTAGAGGTGGCTCAATAACATAAAATATAAATGGGAAGGAGCACACAGCATTACATGCAAGAAATTTTTTGCCAAAGTCATATATTTCAAATTAAAAATGTAAACGTTTCGGCCAAGTCTTGGCCATCATCAGAACAACGAATGGGAGTTAAATACTAGAACGCTAGTAATTAAACTTTTGTGACAGTTAGTGTATAAAACTTATTAATATTTTAATTTATTACAGCCTTTAAATTACTTTCCTTTCAAAATTGCACACAGACTTCTTTTCCAAAATCTTATATTTTATGACTGTCAACTGAAATATTTAAAAGCTATATTGTTGAAAGTTTCGCGTAATTAGTGAATGGCAGCTCTATCTAATGCATATCGCAATCATAGTTTGAAACTTAACAGTCCAATGATTAATTTTCCATGTTAGTAAGTATACCAACGTAGATAGAGCCTCGTACAAGGCCACGCGTTAGACAGCTCGCGTTGCGTTAATTCTCACGAAGACACGCGCTTTCTATGTTTCATAAATCGATTCTCATCGGCAAACCAAATGGTCGATGCAAGAAGCAACAAAATCAAAGAATCAAAGACTGAAAGAAGAATCTTAGCCCTAGATATACACATTCCAGAAATTCCAGAAATCTCAGTGCAATTTGCTAAATCGAGATTTTTTCGTGTTTCTAAAAAATTTTTCTTTTTCTTTGAACCTATATATCTCGAAGCTACTTAATTCTATTGACTTTTACACATTATAGACTTGTTTCTTAATCAATTCTCCATCGATTGAAGAAAAAAATTAATTGAAACATGTCTATTTTTACGGAAGTTATGGTAACAAATATGGATGATGTCCCAGGGACTTTAGTGTATATATCAAGGATAAAAAAAGGATGTATAGCTAGTGTATAGTTAAGAAGAAAAAGTAATGAGAAAACGAATGCAAATCGTTTTATTTACGATGTAATATGGAAAATAATGTAATGAGAATATCGAACATAATGTACATTGAAAGAAATAGGAGGGGAGAGAGAGAGAGAGAGAAATATGATTTCTAACTTTGATCGTAATTTGTACTTGATTTCCGTACCAAAGAGGACTGACATCCAGAGTCGTGAAACGTTCAGTTAACTTTGTTGGGAAGTATTTCAATTGTTTGCGAATTATATCTTATCGCCTTAAAGGGTATATTTCAAGCGTATGATGCATCATTTGTCTTTGTTGTTTAATAAATAATAAAGAAGGATAAAATGATACATCATGCGCTTCATGCGTATTTTGGAATGCACTCATAGCTATATATATATATTGGAGGTTCATATAAATATTTTACTTGTATTTGATTGATTTTATTCTTGGAACTATAAAACTATTTTTATTTTTATTTACAGCTTTGAGTTATCCGTGATTGGAAAATTGCCTACATTGACGCATCAGCCTACTTTATTGGTTCCTAAGAGACTATCGTGTGCTTTTCTTTGTCTTGCAAAGTGGCCATCAACATGATGCGCGGCGCTCCGAGAAGAGCATGAGTTTGTTATTTCAACAAAGGGTAGAATCACTGTGGCGCCCGCACGTAACTATCCATGAATCTTCTGTGCTAACATTCGCGGTATTTTGCTACGGAAAGTAGCCGTAGGCTTTCTTAGTAGCCCCTCGTGCTTTTCGCTTCATTGATACTCTTACCTAGCGAGGTTTAATTAAATCTCTTAATTAATGTGTCTCGCAACGGAGCAAAGTACCCGTCTATCTATCTTATACACGAAAGAAGAGCGGAAAAGTAGATGAACTTTTTGTTTTGTTACAGCATCAGCACGATGCTGAAGAGCGCAAAAGAAAATGAAAACAGAATGAGAATGTATTCACGCTGTTGTAGCAGCTGTTAACTCGAATAACAGCAGCGATTACGTGCCTCGTTAGCTCATTGTTACAGCACGGATTACGTGCATACCTAATCGTATTATCCATATAATATGATAGCTGCATTTACTATCTATCGCATGTATTTTTTTTTACAACAAAAAATTATTGGTGTCATTTTCATTTGTCGACTAAAGTATATTTATTATTTTTTTTATAAAAGAAAACGTTACTTGCGCGAAATCCGGAAAGTTAAACTAACTATTAAATCTACATGAAGCCACCCAAGTGGGAGGTTCTGCACTATGACTATGATAAATTATACAGTGGTGACTATTGATTTCACCGCGGCTAAGGTCAGACGCTACGGCAAAATCGAGTACCAGAAGTAACCATTGGTCAGCGAACAAATTCAATCTTTTTGTTCCAAAGCGGAACTCTTGTTATATTTTATTTTCCAAAAAATCTTGACATTACGCTGAAGGAATAAATCTCCAGATAAATACATTGATTAGATGTGTAATCAAAGAATTATTATAAAATTTACTCTGCTAATACGTCCAAAACTATAATATAATACATCATATCGTTTGATTCAATATAATTACAAAGCTATAAAAAATAAAAAATTTTAACAAAAAAAAAGATATTACATTAATAGACAAAGTCATCAAATATTAGAGAAAAAGTTTTAAAAAAAAATATTAGTAAGAAAATAAATTTTGGGGTAAAGACCTGAAAAGTAGAGTTAAAAAAATCTAGTGTTTTGAGAAACGCGCATAAAGATGTATATCGAATATGAAATAAAAAATATATCTTATCGAAATTCGACAACTTGCGTTTAATTCAATCTTATCTCGATTCCCGTATAAATCTTTAATATCTATTTTTTAGAAGAAGAATTCAGGACGGAAGACCGTCGGATGAAAGATGCCTACTAAATTTGCGACTTTCTTGCTAGCAACCAATAAATCTTTACGTGCGACAACGCGTTATATTGATTTATTTCCGCCAGCAATAACCGTAAAGTAGCGTAACACTTCGTGCAGATGTTTATCTCGGCTTACGACGGAAGACGGCAAGACGCAATGTTATTCGGTGGACAAGAAAAATGTTTCCTGCGTTTTTAAAAGTTTTCTTAAAATGATAACAAATTGAGAATATTAGTAGTTTCGTTTCACAGAAACGATTTCGTTTCACTATGAAACTAAGTTTTAGTTTGAAATTACGCCTTGCTTTTCGTCCATCTTTTTCTACATATGTACGTGTAGACACTTGCAAGGACACTTGCAAGGACTACTTTGAACTTATCGTAGTATGCATTACATTTATCTAAACCGTAGACTGACAAAAGTTGATAATGTCCCAAGTACATGCGTAACTATGTATCTTATGTTACATAATAGTTGTATATATATATATATATATATATATATATATATGTGTGTGTGTGTGTACACGTATGTATTATATTTATTTGTATTTAAATACATATATATGTATACGTATGTACATAAACAGGATATCTGGATTTTCCATACTTTGACAGTATGTTTTACGAGCTGAAATAAAATAAAAATGTTATGTAAACATAGTTTTTAAATGCTTTATTAAAAGTTATAACGAAAATATGAAATGCGTAAAAAACAATTTTATCCAAGTTTATTTCAAATTGTTACCGTTCATGTCAATACAAGTTTGAAATCGATGTAATTTTGAATTTAGCATTTTTTTACAAGGACAGAGAAAATTTTTTTTATTGGAAGATGTTCTTTCTATTCTAGCAAAAAAAGTTATAAATTCAAAATTATCGATATCGAACTTGTATTGACATAGATGAATGACAATTTGAAATGCAAACTTGGACAGAATGATTTTTTACACATTTTATATTTTTGATATAACTTTTTAATAAAGCATTTAAAGATTTATGTTTATATATATATAATATATTTTTGAAATAATAATACGAATAAAATAAGGTGAATGAAAGTATGTTTTTTTCTTATTTCAATTCATAAAACATATAGTCAAAATTTGTACGGAAAATCAGAGAACATGTATATAGGTCCTGTGTATAGATCATTACGTTAATAATAATTTGTTTATCCTTTATCACAATATAGCAAAACTTTATGTAGGTATATATGATATACACTATCGCTCAAAAGTTTGGAGCATCTACAAATTTTAGAAAGAAAGTTTAATAAACTTTATTTACTGACGTTGTAAATATATAAAAATATATGAAAGTAATATATAAAATAGTGTAGGTTAAAAAAAAATGAAAATTGATATTTTTAATAAAATAATAGTATCTGTAAAAAATCATGTTTTTAAAAACCATAGAATATCCTAAGCTTTCTCTCTAAATCTAAATCAGTGGATAATCACTGTTATCCTAAAGCCCAGTTTATACAGTGCGAGCTACTTACTAGTAAATCAGTAGTTGATTTGTGAACTGGATAGTCAGCTACTCAACCTTAAATAGTACCAGCCTTTATTATTATAAAATGCTACTAGCTACGAGCTACTAGCTTGCTAATAAGCCAATAGTATTGGTACTCCAAACTGCATGGTTAATATAGTCTCAGCTAGAGTAGTTTCTACTACGTACTGATTGGACAGTTACTGGCCATACTGATTTGTGCATTCACAGCCAATAGCCTATTTACATAGTGAGCAGCAAAACAAAAATATTTGAATTAACCTTGCTGGTTAATGTCCAACACATATTGTAAATAACTCGGCCAATCTGTTCACATGAAGCTAGTAGCTAATCTACTACTGACACTATCAATTCGCACCATGTAAACCGGGCCTTAGTATGCCACTAATAATCAATGAATGAAACGTGAAACCTAATCTAACTGATTTTGTTTTAGTGCTTATATTAAAAAATCTGTAATTATTGGCAAAAATCAACAAATAATACTCACCGTCCTTTCTGTAGTAAAGAATCTCGAAGTGCTTTTCGACGCCAGCAGCAAGGGCGTCTCGTAGGGCTGCAACCGCATGCGGTGATGTCATTGGTCCATGGAGGAAGTCGCAGACTGCTGGTCGCTGCATCACCTCGGCCCTTGAGAAGCCCGTCAGCCGACAGAATCCGTCCGAGCAATAGATAATGTGGCATAGTCCTTGCTGCGCATTCGCTACTAAAAAGCTTCGATCTGCAACAGATGCCAGATATACCTTGAAACGACTAATTTCTTTGCGAAATATATACGCTTTATCATTCTCGAAGTAATGAGGAGCTCTTCGATTTAACCTCAAAATTTGAGTGCAAATTTTGAGAGCGAAATTAAAAATGAAATATTTTGTTTCTAATAAGGTAATTCGAGGGAAGATGTCATAAAGAGGAAGACGCTTTGTTTATAATTTTTTCATAAAACGTGCGTTTGGCCATACTGACGCAAAAGCGTGTGATAAATAGTTGCGCAGTTATCGGCAGAGATGAACATGTTCATGACAAAGTCGATTGGTAAAGATTATACGAAATAGGTAGGTCATGAAACATGCTCTTTGTAATATTTGGTATGCTAATAGCTAAGGTCTGTATTTCGATGCTTAAAACCGAGCAAATGATATACGGTCGGCGTGATAATCGGCGTTCCTTGGAAGTCATGTGGATATAGATTATAATTTGTAATATTCTTATATGCGTAAAAGTTGCAATTGAATATTCCTCTTAAATTTGGGAATAAGATGATAGTAAACGAAACATAATTTTTCGTGCTTAAAACTCATTAAAACGATTTTATGAATTAAAATTTTGCATGTTTTATATAATTCGAAATATTTTAAGTTGTTACATCCTAATAAAATCCTCTTATTCTTTATAGATATTCTTCATAGATATACGATTTATATTTTACTTTTTATCTTATCGCTAGGTTAATATTTCCCTATTTTATCTTTATTTCGAAACCGAAAATCCTTTTCTCTTTTATAAGAGGGTATATTCAGTTTCTTTATTTAAACATTCAACCTAACAGATAGATTACGTTATATACTTTTATGCGTCATATAAATTATCTACAGATTATTCTAAAGAATGTCTAAGAATATCACACGATCTTTCTCTAAGAAGCCCTTCTATAAAATAACAAATATAAAAGCATACATTAACATTAATAATATTAAGTATATTATAGCGTTTAACGATTAAGTAATTAGCAGTAAAATAGAAATCTTCCTGAATGCGAGAACGAATATCTTTTTTTTCCCTTTTTCTTTTTCTAATAAAGTTAAATTAATTTTAAATATATGAATGTAGTGAATTCGCCTCGCATAAAGGATATTAAAGAAAACCGAATTTTTATTACTACAAATTGTTAAAACTCAACTATTACTTATTAAGAATAAACTTGTAGAGTGGGGAGTAGAGCTTACGCGGAGTCTTGCTGCTTTATCTCAAGGCAAGAAAGCATGAGTATAGGTTCTACCAAATTATGAGGAGTGTCGATTGGTTCTGAAAGGATACTCCCACACTCATTTTCAGAATATAAAAGGAGCTGTCAAAGACAGAAACAGTCCCTTTTTTCCCTTTTTTTCTGTCAATTCATCAGTCACCCAGCCAATCAGTCAGTCGGTTATTCAGACAGTCAGTCAGTTAGTTACTTAGTTACAGTTACAGCTGCAGTTATAATTATACAATCAAGGTGAGAGCTATCCTCGCGCTCCATCAGAACCTCACTTTTCTTTTTCATTGTTTTACTTATAGCATTTACTTATTTCAATAAACGAAAATATTAAATCGACGGAATCTCTAAATCTCTAATCGGTTACATACAAGTACATATACATATATGAATCTTCCCAGTGAACCGCATCCTTAACCGCACAATTTAATCTCCGATCCCCGAGTAAAGTGTTTAAATACATTGACTCAAAAACGGAGAAAATCTCAATAACATTAGACGTAACATAAGTTAATGAAATACTGTTTAAACAAATCAAAGTATGTCCAACTTACTTTCTAAATTCCACTCTTTCATATTTCAACAATTTATCATATCTTATGTGTTCTTATAACTTAAATCCTTGATTTATGAACTATAAATAAGTAAAACATATAAATTTATATTGCATCACATTATTTAATTGTTTGTGTCACCTTTTCCCATAGGAGGTAGCATCTTACCCGTATATATGTATAGGGCGAAGATGCCACTTTTGCAGGGTATGACATATCAATTTTTTTTAATAATACATCAAAAGTATAATTTATTGATTTGTATAAGTAAAGGAAGATTGTTAGAATATAAATAATATTTTTTCGTTTGTTAATTCAATAACATTAAGAAGTTATTCAAGAATAAAGGCTTAAATGTGGCGTCTTCATCCCCCCCCCTCTCCCCCCAATGACCTTAATAGCGATGGTCACGCGGTAGCTTCGTTAAGTCTACTGAGACTTCAATAGCTCATTAAGATAGGTAGCGATAATATATTTCCGGGGTATCTAAATTTAACATTCGCTGTAAGCCTATACAAGATGGACGCTTCTCTTATTAACAATAATCCGGGAGCGCCCTGGCATTTATATTTATCGCTCGTGCTCGCTACAAATTAACGCAAATGACCTATTCTGTCTGTACATACGTAGCTGCTAGTGGTGTGAGAAACTGTTATGAGAAACGAATAGTTTTGCTGTTAAAAATTTTGCTAGATACCAATAAAAATATAAAAATCTAAAAATATAAATTTGTTAGATCATCTAAATAATTGTTTACAATTATTAAGTACAGGGCAGGCGAAGTAAATTTTTTCTATGTATGGAGTTTTGGTTGGAGGAAGGAGGCTAAGGGGAGGGGTGACATTAATTATTTTAGACTGTCTTTTGACACATACACACACATCTATCTGAGGCCTTATTCTCACATAAACGAAAAATATATCTAATATAAATTGAATGTAAACTTCTGATGAGATATGCATGGAATTTTATAACTTAGAAATTTGTATATATGAAGTCCTGACCAATCCTACTGAAGTTCTGGTTAAATATTAAGGAAACAATGATAAATCAATCCCTTGAGTTAAAAATAGCATTTTATCAAGGTTGGATAATGCTAACAATAAGTTCAAAGTTAAAAGTTAAGTTAAAAAGTTAAAAAGTTAATTAATTTTAACTTCATTTAGTTACAATTTAGATTCTTAATTTTTTAACTTTATAAGTTATATTTTATCGGTAACTAAATATTAACTTTTAGTTTGATGTTTTAAAAGTTAACATCACGGTAATTGATGTTATGGATCCTATACTCGGATTACATTCTTATACATTCGTGTCGGAAATGTATTTTTTTAATTTTAAATAATTTCAAATATTTCGTTTATATTTAAACAAAGAATAAAGAGATTTGAAAGCGATCCTTCATCGTAATCTAAAATTGTGATTTTCTTGAAAAATACGCAGAAGTGCAATTTACTGATTTACAGGTATTACTTTTTAGTTTTTTAATTTAGTTAAAAAAAGTTAACTTGAAATTATGAAATAAAACAAATTTAACTTCTAACTTTTCAATCACTTTTTTTCCATTCATTTAACTTTTAGTCCAATTGTCACTATGGATTAACTTTGATCTTAATTGTAAGTTAAATTTTCAAAGCTGTTTACTTTAATTTAACCTAAGTTAAAAAAAAATGTTAACTTATCCAACTCTGAATTTTATTATTTAACTTTCAAGTGTATCAAAATGTAAAGCAATCTATCTATTTCTATTTGAATTTCGTTTCAAAATATACAACATTTGCACTTATAATATTATTAGTAAATAATAAACCAAAATTTGATCAAATTTATTACATTTCTTGAGTTAAATTCTTCCATTGTTTAAATTAACGACATATTGAACAGTAGCGACTTATAGAAATAATTAAAAATTATTCGAATTGAGGATAAAGGCGCTCAAGAGTACGCACTTTCTTTTTATGCTGCATAACATGTACAAAAATTCGATTTTGAACAGTAAAATGCTGCTTAAGCTATTTTTTACAGTTTGAACTAAAAGTATAAATTTGATATAAACACTCATTTTTGCAGGAAGTTCATTTTACTAAGAAAATAAAAATGCATATTCTTATTTCTTGACAAGTGTCTTCTCAAAAGTACGTATTATTAAAAAAGTGTGATGTGTGTGTCGCTTATTGTAAAAACAATATTGATTGACGTAAAAAAACATTTATTTTTAATGGAATATAAATCTTTATATATACTTGAAGTATTTTTTTATGTGCAGAATATTTTTTACGTAAGTAAATTTTCGACCATGGTTGATCTCAATCGATATGGGCTTAAAGCCAGTAGCTTTGGCACTAGATTCAATTTTCACCGGATTTAGAATTCAAGTACAAATCGTTACAAAATATGTAAGTTGTATCGTCGTTATCATCGGCATTGTTTCCATAGGCTGAATCAAATTTTCAAGTGCGTACTTTTATAGACAATCACATTATTTTTTACTAATATAACTGTATAAAACCTATTACATTGCAAATATTATGTAAATATATCACTAAATACGAAGCAGACATGCACACCATATAAATGATACAGACTCACAAAGCAATAATTTAACGTAAAAAACTGATAAATTTATTCGTGACAAATATAATTTAGTATATCTCCTTTATCGCTGTAACGATCACAATTGTCTTTCATACGTATTGGCTAACCAAAAAGGCACATTTTGTGTGAGTTAGGTATAGCTGCTGCGATTTAATAATTACATAAAGCTTAATACGTACTCTTAAACATCCGTAACAATCCATACTCTTAGACGGACTTATTCTATGATTTGACATCATGACATTCTACAGTGTAGAATATAAGCAGTGTTGTAAAAAGTGTTGACATTCTAATCAATCTCAGTTTAAGCGTCCTATTTAATTATTTTGATGGTCCGACAAAAATATTTTTAGCTATCTAGCTAAATTTTTAGATATTTTAGTTCTTTGTGTGTTTTTAGAAAATATCGCTTCTCTCCTTTGAAATCCGTTCTATCAAACATAAATAAGATTTATCCTGCAAAAAATTTATGCGTTATTTCTCGCCGCTAGTAACACGCAAACATAATATAAATTCAGTGGCTGATAAATTCTGGTCATACTTGTCAAAAATTTCACGATCGACGGAGATCAATCGTTATGGCAACGGATATGATTGACG